AGATATGATCATACTTAATTATAATCAGTGTCTGAACAATGTGATATTGTTTTCTGTATTATTTTAATAAATCAATATAATAGGTGGTGCAAAAATCTCTGGAAAAATGTTGAATTCTGTTACGTAATATTTCTAACTTTTAAAGCCCTGAACTCTTTTTTGTTAGAAAGAGCAATGTCTGCACTACAAACTTTCTATGAGACATATTTTTCAAGAATGAATTTGAGAAGAAGCAATAGCGAAAAAACGAAAACTTCTAAAAACGCTCTTGCAACTTCACGATCGAGTAATATCATTTTGTATTTTCAGTTAGTTATTTTATATGCAAAGAAAAATAAGAAAGCACGCTCAATGATAATTTTTGCAGCATAAATGAGCTTTCCATCCAATAGTGTATCGCAATTTGAAGTTATTTTTGGTTTTGTACAAATCAATAGCTTCTGCTAAAATTTTACAACTATAGCTATATATTTTGACGAAATAATGCAAAAAGAATTCAGTTCATGCAAGATTTCTACATATGGTGGCTGATATTTTTGTAAACTAATATCTCTTGGAAAAGAAAGAATTTTGCAAAAATTTCATGTTTCAAATTCTTTTAATCGAAGAATCAAAAGTTGAACCAAAAGTATTCTGAAAACTGATACCGATGGAGCTTTTGATGCGCTAGATTGGGTAAATTTTTTGTTCAATTTCGATCCAGGTAGCTGCAAATACTTGAGAAATACTGATTTTTCAAGTTGTAAAAGCGTTGTGCAAGACTCTGTTTTAGAGATGTTTGGTTTTTAGATTTTCCTTCTTCGCAGATACGTTTTGGAAAAATATGTCTGGTAAAAATTTTTATTGGTTTAGAAGTCGACAATATGGTTTCAGAAATCAAAATTTTTCCAAATACTTCTGCTTCGATTATTATTCAATAAAAACTTTATATTGTAAAGATGAACAAGACAGAATAATAAGAATGATGATAAACCAGAACGTTTTCAATTTCAATTTTTTTGTATGTACAAATATTTAAAATGTGAACATAAAGTTTTTAAAATCAATACACCAGATTTTATAGTCGCATATCATCCATAGGTATTTGCTTCAATATCGACGAAAAACAAAGAAACTTTTTACGTGTATTATTTAGATTCGAAATACGAGTGTAGACCGTATCATCGGTAATAAAGTTCTTTCAAGACGAAAAATATCTTTTCAAATTCTTATAAAATCTGATTTTTCTAATAGAAAACAAAATCTCCACCCATATAAGTCATAAACAAAACAATATGTAGACATAGATGTTGACAGATTTCTACAAAAATTACAGTTAATCGAAGCATAGTTTTTCGCAAACTTTATGAATATATCCTTTATAACTTCATGTGAAATCACGATCATAAATGGTTGCCAAATTTATACAGTAGTCGCAAAACAGAGAGACAGTATTGTTATTCGATGTTTGAATGAATGATAATTTTCTATTTCAACGCCATCTTTCATAGTCTTCTTGTGTTTGGATTTTGATATGTAACCAATTAAAAAACTTCATGAATATTCTTTTGCACATTTATTGACTTGATCAGTAACTGTGATAGTTTATAAAACTCTTATTTCAATGTTTACTAATCGTTTTTTATTTATTCGACGTTTACCCACATCCATCATTGTCTGGCGTCATAATCTAATAAATCCTATAACTCAAATATCAACATCTCATTCTCAAGAACTTTACAATTGGAATGTAGCAATGACACAATCAAATAAACGTAAAACACCTAAAAATACACTTGCATTGTTCGATAAATTAATAACTCAACATCCAGATATAACACCTGACTTTATTACTTATCTTCTTGCCTTGAGTGCTTGTATACGTTTGGGTAATTTGGATGAAGGAAAACGTATTCATGAATATATTCGACAAAGATGGTCAACAACAGTTGAAAAAAATGAAGAAATTAAAATACATACATGTCTTGTTCAACTTTATGCAACATGTGGTGATTTAAAAACAGGTTAATAATAAAACGTTAAAAAATTAAAAAAACCAAATAGTTTCTTTTTCGTTTTTTTTTGCATAGCTGAAGAAATTTTCTATAAAGAACATCTTAATCAACATGCTATCCCAGTAAATACTTTAATGAAAGGTTATGTAATAAATAATCGAGCAGATTTAGCTGTTCAACTTGCTGAACGCTTACCAAAGAATGAACGAAATATTGTTACATTTGTTTTATGGGCAAATGCCATAGCACAAATAGGTGATATACAAATGGCTGATCGAATTCATAGAGAATTAAATACTTTATCGTCTTCAATTCGAGCTTTTTTTGCTCATGATCGTAGATTAATTAATGCATTGATTGATGTATGTCATTCAGAAAATTTTGTATTGTTTTTCATAATCCATATTAATCGGTTGTAGATGGATGGAAAATGTGGAAATGTTATTCGAATGGAAGAAACATTTAAAAATATGAAACAACCAGATGTTATCTCATATACAGCTATGGCTAAAGCGTATATTGTCAATGTATATTAGATTTCTTTTTGTTTTGTTCGTAGATAAAAATCTTATTGTATATTTAGAATTTACCTGTAAAAGCTCTTGCTGTATATGATCATTTAAAACATACTAATCAAATTGGTTGTGATGAAGTTATTTATTTAGTTGCATCAAATGCAGCTGGTAAATTAGGTTTATTATATCATGCTCGTTCAATTCATAATGATATTATATCAAGTGGAATACCATATGAAACGAATGAGAAAATTCTCAATACCCTGTAGGTATGTGTTTAAGACCCTCTTCCAAGAAAAAAAAAGTCAATTTTCGTTAAAAAAGAAACAAAATTTAAATGTTAGTCGAAAATTTGATCTTTCATGAATGACATGATTTTTTTAATTTGATAACTCGTTTTTTGTCAAAATTTTTGCTGATTTCCGTTATATCAAGCTTGAAAAGTATACTTTTCTGATCACAGGTTCCGAAATTTTCGAAGGAACTTCACTATAGTCAAAATCTTTTTGAAAGAGCACGTGAAGCTATAATGCTTGCTTTTTGAATTTAAAGTTTTTTAATTATTATATAAAAGAAACTCTCTGTAAATAGATGAACATTTTTTGAAAATTTTTCGACGCATTGAAGTTGTTATTCTTTTTTTTTGCATAAAAAGTAAGAATTTCAAAAAAAAAAAGTGCACTACAGTCTGAGATACTCTTTCAAATAAGAAAAGCTTAGATCTACAGCAAGAAGAATTGCAGAGATTTCTAAGTTGTGAATGAGCTATCTTTTACATTTGCTTGCTGAATACATCCCGAAAACATCTTGATAGAGGGCTGCAAATTTAATACAATGTGAATGCATCTTACTCAAGATCGATTTTTGAGAGGAGGGAGCTTAGTATATAAGTTATTTGAAATAGAACTTCTTGTTTTCTTTTTAGAATGGATACATATGGAAAATGTGGAGATTTAAATTCAGCTAGAGAAATTTTTGATCAATTGAAAATAAAAAGTAAACCAAGTATTTCATCAATGAGTATGTTATTTAGTTGAAGCTTCATGTCAAAAAAAAAACAAATGACATTATTTTAGTTAATATATATGGAATAAATTCTCATGCATTAGAAGCTGTTGCTTTGTTTTATGAAACAAAAAATAATTTATCAGGAAATATTCAATCAATATTGCTTAGTGTTTTGACTGCTTGTGCTCATGGTGGTCTGATAAAAGAAGCACAAAAAATATTTGATGATATTCCTAATGATAAACGAACAGTCAAAATGTGGAATGCGCTTGTAAGTATCATACATATAAAGATCTATGTCTTTTGTTTGTAATAAATACAGAATATGTCATCAATCATAACACAATGTATAGTTCAAATACTTTCATTTCATTTCAAATCAATGAATTCTTGAGTCTTTCTGGGTATGATAAGGATGTATTGCGACTTTCTTTTCATAGAGATAACATAACCAAATATCGTTTCGAAGTAATATTACTAACATTACTAAAGAAACATTAGTTATTGTCAAATAAAACAATATATGTTGAGTGATCCATAGATAATTTCAGTTTTCAATGAAGATAGTAACAAAAAAAAGGAATCAAGACTGATTTTATGCATAATATAGCATTCATATATATCAAGCAAAGATTGTGGTCTAATGTCGTTAATTTAAAATATTCTTTGTTGTAAAGAAGTTAATAAATCGATATCTGAAGGATTTGATAATGTATTTGTGCTATTCGACACGAACTCGAACGCTAAAATTCACTTTTATGATAAATAATGTCATATTATTAATGAAGTTTGTTTTTTCTTGGTTATTATTTTAAATGACAACTGAAAGTTATCTATGAGTCTTTCTAGACGTGTTTTTTTTCTTGACGACAACTTAATTCTTCAGAAGTATAAGTAATGATATTTTAAAGTAGTATTTGTTTAACTTCTTTGTATGAATAAAAATTGTCAGCTGATTTTTTTAAATTAAAATAGAGATATTTCATTTTTTTTTACTGCATAGTTCGTTATACTCTACCCTATGTTTCCGGTCACATATTCACTAAAACTGTGTAAATGATTTATAGAATATAAACTAACACAGATTTGTTCTTTTTAGCTATGAAAGAAAAACGTTTTCGCTCATCACTATATTGAGTTTCACTAAAAATATAAATGTTTGTCTTCATTTGTATCTCAAAATAGTCTAAATGCCAGTAGTAACTTGTTTGATGAGGAAAGTACTTGAAATGATACCGTCGATTGATCTCATATGAAGTTCACAAGATAGTCTCGGTAAGATCAGAAAAATCCTAGAAAAATACGCGCCCATAAACTTCTGAAACTGAGTTATGAACGTTTTATTGTATTTTCCATCCAACTTTAAGCATTTACCGACAAAACAAATAACAGTATTTCGATCTGAAATTTAGCCGATAAACAGATCAAATAGCTAGTAGAATATCCTGAGTGTTTCAGTTGAAAAGAATGGTCTTTTGCCACAGATATGTCACAAAAATTGAGTTTAGTTAAAATTCTAATATCTTGACAACGAGGTATTCTTTTTTTGACTGAAACTTTCAGAATATTCTACTAGTTATCTGACCTGTTTATGAGCAAAATTTCAGGTCAAATTACTCTGATTTGATTTTTTGCCAAGAACTTAAAGATGAATCGAAAATTCAGTAAAACGATCATAAATCGGCTCCTAAGATCCGAGAGCAAGAATCTTTTTAGGACTTTGCTAATCTTACCAAGACTTCCATGTGAACTCAAACGGTAGGTATCAGTTCGGATAGTTTTCTTGTGAGATAAATTAAATGTATATTGATAGTATATAATAGATAGTAATTGAACCAGAGAAGAAGCGTAATCTATTAGAACTAGTTTATACATTCAAATATCAATGAAAATGATATAAATTATTTATTAATTCTTGAAATATTTTTCTATGAATTTTAAACCTAGGTTGATGTTTATGGTCGTGCTGGTCAATTATCTGAAGCTCATTCAATTATTCGTCTATTTGAAAAAAATCATCCACGTGCACCTGTTCTATATATTTCTCTTTTAGCTGCTTGTCGTATACATAAAAATGCTAAATTAGCACTTGAAATTCATGATGAATTAATGGAATCGAATATACCATTAACGGATGATCAACGTTCAGCTATTGTTGTATTAACAGCAAATGTTTATTCATCAGTTGGTGATCATAATCGTTCATTACTTCTTCGACAAAATTTATATCGTGATAAAATACCAAAATATTCTGGTGTAACATGGACAGAAATCAATGGAATCATGTATGAATTTTATGCTCAAGATGTTCGACATCCACGATCAAAAGAAATTTATGAACAATTAGAGATTTTACATGAACAATTAATAAAATTAGGCTATCAACCTAATGAAAGTGTTTTGACAAAAAACGAAATAAATGCTGAATGGAGTATATATGGACATTCAGAACGATTAGCTATTGCATTTAATTTAATATCAACACCACCTGGTACAACAATACAATTAACAAAAAATTTACGAATGTGTATTGATTGTCATGAAGTATCAAAACTTATTGCTCGATTAACACAAAGAGAAATTATTGCAAGAGACAAACTAAGAATACATTATTTTACTAAAGATGGTCGTTGTTCATGTGATGATCATTTTTAATTATTATTTTTTTTTCTTGTTTTCTATTAAAATTGATGTTGCTCAGATGTATTATTAATGTTTAAAAATGACCGAATAGTTTATTTTCTCAAAAAAACTAATACAACTGATGTATAGTGTGGGTTTCTCGCATAGTAGAAGAATATTTAACTTACATTCCCAGAAGCGGCTTTCTTGTGCATATAAGTGATTGCAGGTCATTCAAAAAATCAAGAATTTTTCGGCGAAAAGCACTTGAGGAAAGTCGTTGATCACATTGTTTCAAGAAAAAGCTTTTGGTTAGAAAATGTCTTGTGTCATACGTAATCCAATGTAGTTTCACGCCCTGATTTTGAAAATAGGATTGATTTTTAATAGAAATTCTTTAAAGTCTAAAAAAGAAAGAAAATTATCAGAAAAACCAAGGCGTTTTAGAAAACGGCTTTATAGTTCAAGAACATTTATACTTACTGCAGTTAAAAGGGCACAGTCTGAGTGGATTTGATTTTATACTAGTGGGCGCATCTTCATTTCACTTAACGGATCCATTTCGAATATTAGTTTAGGAAAACTTTTTTCTCAGAAATCACATATTTAAACTAAAGTCTTTCTTCAATGTTTGATAATAGGCGATATGCATATTCAGAATCTGTACTGGGTGGCGTGCCGACAGTCGGTTTAATTTTGTCAAAAGATGATTTTTTCTCATCGATTTCAGTATTTTCAGACTGATTTTTGTATTCTGGTTGTTTCACTCTCCTTAAAATTCTGAAGAAGACGTTTATACTATTAGATAGAGTATGTGTCAAAATATATTGATCACTATGTGAATCAATGAAAGAATTACCTTGTTTGTTTCATTTAATGTTCGTCTAGATGGAGACTGTGTGGTAGTTAAGAAAAATAATGGATGTTAAAAGTCATACAGATTGTCTCAAATAAGACTAGACGAAAATCCGTCGTCAAATAGTTTTTACATGCATGCAGATAAACTTGATTCCCACATTCAACTGCTGACTGACAGCTTTTGAAATTCTTGAAAACATTTAAAAACAATTAAGTTATAATGTTATTGGTTACAATTTTTATTTATTTTTATTATTATAGATTAGGTTATAATAGTTGATAGTGTATTAGATAATAGTTGAAAACTTGGAAATATAAGATACAAAAAGTGTTTACGTATTCTATTGAATTTATACATGCAAGAGAGGAATATTTTTCGAAGGAAAGGACAACCATAGACGAAAATCACCAAAAGGACGAACGAGCTTGTACCCTCTTGCTTATATCCACTACTGTGATGCCAGTATTCCAGAAATTTGTGGGTATTAGACACTTTTCATGCATTCTGACGAGAACTTATATAAGTTTTGCTTTACACATTTGCTCTAAAGACGAAAGCAATCAAGGTCAATCCTAACGACATCCGAAAACAAGCAGGCTTTGTCGGAAATAGTCGGAAAAATAATTATATCCGACCGGAAAACATTGGAAATGAAAGGAATGTGAATGCCGTATTCGGGGTCGGAATGTTTCTGAATGTTTTTTTGGTGACTTCTGGCCGTTCTTCGTCAGAAATAGCGGGAGGTTGATTGAAGGTCACAAACAAAAGATTCGAGACTTTCCCACCCGAAATATTGCTCAGCAGTCATGCTAGTTTATTTGTACAATATTCAAATTATACGCACATATGTACAAAAATATATTGAAATTATGTACCAAAGACAAATAATATAATTAAATGGATCATAGAAAAAAAAAACTTGTTTTAATAGCTTATTTTTTATCATAATTTCTACGCATTTTCTAATGACTCATACGTATTGCTTCAATGAATAGTGGTTTCAAGAAAAGAAAAACAATTTTTTCATGACACTAAAGATTCATTCTATTGAGATTAATTGTAAAAATCAATATAATAAAATACAATACGATAATTTTTTGTTATAGATCAATTAAGATTTAAAATTATGAAAAAGTGTGCATAATATTATTCAAGACTAAGAAAATGCCGTTGTAAACTATATAAAATGACGAAAATTAGGGTCATTACACTGCTGTTCAAGACAATGGAAGTGATCGTTCAAAATCTAGACGAAAAATTACACATTACGTCGTTTTCACTCTACTGGATGATCTATTTGTTTTTGTTTTATTGCCTAGTTGATTATTCATTTCTCTTCCTTTTTGTTTATTGTTCTCGAAACGTGTTTCAATTTACTTATAATATATTTTCTGAAAATAGAAACTTTATCTCTAATCTTTATATTAAAAAAATAAAGACAAAGTAATCCTTGGAGTGTCTGAGTTGATCGTTCTGGGTCAAATTTTCAGTTTATGTATCTCTGTTTTTTATTGTTATCGCTTTATATTTAAATCAAAAACGATTTTACAACAACATAACTCGATAGAATCAGCTCCATAAATATTTTAAAGTGTGTATGTCACAAGTGAAAATAACGATTGGATTAGAACTCTTTCACTTTTGACAAACTTCTTTATTGCTTTAGTAGAACTGTACGACTTTCTTCGGTTGTTTTCCAGCTTAGTACTCTTTCTAAAAACGTTTGTTCGCTTCAATCCTGTTGATCTCAGCACATTCATGCACGTTACATAAATCAGTAGAACACAGTGATACTAGATAGAAGTAGTTATTAGAAGTATTCATTTTATCAAGACAGTTGTTCTACTGTTATACTCAAATACTTAGATATAAGCATGAGTACCATTGATGAGTTCTCGTAGTAATATCTAGTATAGCTACTATATAAGTGCCTTAATTGTAGTAACGATATAAACATGAACCTATATTTTTATTCTTTCTTCTTGTTCGATTTTGCCAATTAACTAAATGTACACACGAATTTATATATTATAACACATGTATCTTATTTTGTATTTTAGTTCCAGTACATATCGTTTTAAAATAGATTTCAACTATCGTTTAATTAATAGAATAATTTTTCAATTGTAGCTGAACGTTCTTCAAACATTTCATTTGTTTGAAAGGACTTGACATTCGAATATCCTTAAATAGAAACTTCATTTATTTCACATGTTTAAAAGAAAAACAATGTTATTTTTCCTTTTCGTCAAAGTACTGTTGGAGTACTAATTATTTTTTTAGTGCATGCTTGTTCGATACTTTTTGAAAGAGAAAAAGAATAAAAGTGTTATTATCTTATCGTCTGCTTCACTCCTAAAGAAGAAAACAAATGATATTCGTCTAATATAAATCTTAGTCATAAGTCAATTAACATACAAAATATATTCTATTCCATAACTGCCTATGTTTTTTTTTAACTTTACGTATCTTATGAGTACTTATGCTCTGATATGCATTTATAGAACATAGTTCAAAGTCAAAGTCAATGTGAGCTTAGTAATAATTTATTTATGAATCTATGTTATCACAGAAATAAATACAGAGGAATACATTTTTTCTTCTATATGTAATATATCAATTAGATATTAACACCTAAGTACTGTTCATTAATTATTTCTTGTAAAATTGATATTAAATTATCTAAACCAGATAAATAACCATCCTCGTGTGAACCACGTATCCATGGTTTGTCATGTGTTATATGAATATTATCAGGTAATAATCGTGTCTTTCCAAAATCAATCATCCATATTGATGCTCTGTTTTCATCATGTACAAATAAAAGTGATGAACCAATTAACTTTAAATAAAAAAAAAATTAGATCAAATTAAGAATATTTCTATGCAAACTTCATGAGTTTGAAAAAAATTTGAATGAATACATGCTGTACGCAATTCAATTAGACGTTCAAGATATTGAGTCTATAGAATAATCATAAATAATGAAAACTGAAAACAATCGAATCAAAAACTTACAGCACGTGGTAATGAATTAACAAGAAATTCACTCAATTGTTTTTTAACATCATTACATTCTTTAATTCTTTGAAATTCTTTAGACATCAAACCATGAGATTTCTATACATTATAGAAAAAAAGGAATTCTTGATTAAAACAAAAAAAAAACAAATGAAATTCGATTCTTTTACTTTAATAGCTTCAATACGAAAGCCTAAATTTTGACTTGAACTTAAACTTTCTCGCCAAAGCATATACCGTGATTTAAGAATTTTTTTCTCTTCATGTTCTTTTTCTGTTGGAGCCGAGCAATCTATTGCAATCATTTTATTATATAAATCCTAAAAAGAAAAATTAAATATGAATTTATTTCAATAATAATCAATGAAAGTTGTTTTCTACAGTTCTTGGTTCTGGATTGCATTCAGATTTATCTAATTCTTCTTCTAAATAAGTTCTTACACCAATTTTACAATCCATTATAGATGGTTCATGAAATGAAGCTAATAAATCTTCTATTTCAATAAATACTAGAAAAAAAAAAACACGATTATTATTTATTTAGAATAAATCTTTTTGTTTTCTAACATTTTCCATCGTCATCTTGAAAAGTTCCATTATATTTTGGAACAAAATGTTTTAAAAAATCATTTTGAAGTAATTCACAACAATATTGTTCATGTTCACATAATTCTTTCAATATATAACCATCATGAATTCCTGTTTTAAATGTTCCTTTAGATACAAAAAAAAAGTTCAATATATCAAGATACACGGAAAAAGAAAAAAAAATCCTACCATTATGACCAACCAATTGTACCCATTGATGTCGTTCTTTTTTTGCTCGTGTCGGTGTTAGTAATGTTGTAAAAACATTTGAAACAGCTTTACAACTTCGATTATTCTTATATAAAATGAAATAAACACATTTATTTCCTAATAACAATCTTAACTAAATGTTAATTTTACTTGTTTTACACGATCTTCAAAATATTTTAAATCGGTTCGTGATGATGAAGGCAATTGCAATTCATCAGTATTTAATCCTTGCCATATACCAAGTAAGGTGTTTTTTATAGTTTTATTATGTTTTGTTGACGAACAACTAGATGATATTGGATATTGATAATATCGTCGACTAGATAAATATTCTTGTGAACTTGAAGTTATAGCTGTTGTCATGTTCGATTGGTTGCTATTCTCCAAATGACTTGGACTATTTAAGCTTTTATGAGTAACTATTTGTCCTGATGATGATTGTGTAGCTACATCACGTACAAGTTTTCGTTTATTCAAATGAGAACGTTTTTGAAATGAGATTGAAAGTGACGAAAGACCATATCTTATTTTTCTTGTTGAAGGAGACTCTTGTATAACTGAATAAGAACGTACTTTTGTAGCAATTGAAACTGTAGATGTAACAGTTGGTACGCTCAATTGTATTCCAGCATCAATAAAAGCAGTTCCAATAGTTTTAGTTTTGCTATTCAATGAGAGCATGGTTTATCTGAAAATGACTGTCGGATGAATGTCATCACTGTCTTGTGAAATATGTCATATGGTTATTATTCAATCTTAGTTGAAGGTTTCATGTATAACGCCAACGCTTGTTTTTTCTTCTCTTTTTCATTATGCACTTATCAACAAACTTATTCCATTTTTTTTCTTTGTTTTTCGTAACACTCCAAATGAGTGTATACCTATGAGATCTCCTTAGATATGTCATACATTTCATGGTGTTAGCATAATAAACGTAGAGAATAATATTGAGGACAGTGTATGCTAACTTGAAAAACAATATAGGTCCAAATTAAAAGTTTTTGTAAATATTATACGTAAAAATAATTGAATAGTTTCAAATCTGTTTGGTAATCTACCATTGCTTCATATAAGAAAAATTTTTGAAAAGCAAAAATCCTTATCAGAAAGAACCCGCCAACTATACTTTTCTCTTTTCAATAAACTTATCAAAGTTCATATAAATATCAAAGCTAATATTTCACGATGCTAATGGCAATAAATAGGTCAATATCAAAAGCACGTACGTTTTCTTTTCCTACGTTATTTTACTTTGAATTGATAATTGATACTTGTTAATACAGGTACTTTATAAAAACAAAATCAATAGGATATAATCAGATAGACGTGATAATGCAATACGTAGATGATATTGATTCATATTTTAGATTTTAAATTTAACTGCGCCATTTCGAAAACATGATATTGACGTATTAAATAATATTTACTGATCGGTATTCATGATATTTTCAATTATATGAAAAAAAGCAAAAAAAAATCATGTCTTAGCCATAAGAGTTAATCATTTTCGAACAAAACATTTTAATTCCTGACAAGGTTAATTTTCGTTTGTTTTGTAAAGAGTGTCGAAAGATGTGCTCAAGATTCCATAACGGAGAAACGTAACTTCGCGGTAGCTTGAAATCTCCAAAATCAGACGAGAGGAAGAGAGAGACATCATGCCTTCGTTCTTCTAGATTCATTAACTATACTTTTCTGTTTTATAGTTAAACAAAATAATAATTTTCAAAAGCAGGGCATTGTTCTCTCATCTATACACACATTCGTCAATATTTTTTGAATGAAATCTGAATATAAATTTTGACTAACTAGTATTGTTGATGTTGTATTATTCGATCTTGAAATAAAATCACTTACATGAAATAAAATATTCTTTAATATTTAATGCATGCTTGTCGTATTTTTTTGAGTCTGCTTTTATCGTTGTTCTCCTATTTCAATGTTTATCAATTTTGAATGAAATAGCTTTTCTACAATATTCTTGTTGGTGAAATTTAAATTAATATAATATTCAATAAATAATTTAAAAATTTTTTTCATTTAATGATCTTATTCAAGAAGAAAAGATATTAAACATAACAATTCGATTGCTTCTCTGTATTCATTTTCTGAATTAATTAAACAATCCCTGCCACATATACAAAAAAATATCATTCGAAAATTTCACGTCGATTTATTGATTAAAAGTGCTAGAAAAATGAAAGTAAAAATAATGAATTTTGAAAAATTGGTTTGATTTTGTTGTTTCTTCTCAAGAAATAATACAGAGTTAAGGCATCGCAGCACGATACATAGCTTTTTCTTTGTTCTTGTTGACTAGGTCAATGATCGAATCACATAATTGATTAATAATCATTCTCCCGTATCCATATATTTGTAAAAATTTCTGATGTTTTTAATGCGAAGCGTTCAACCACCAATTACAATTAACTGAACCACCAGTCATTGCTTTTTTACTTGATCAATCTCGTATAATTTATTAGAATTATTCTGGGTTATTTATATAGTGCACCCGACAAATGAAAGAAGTGGTTCAATCGAAACTGGATAAGTTCAGACAATGATATGGAGAGCTAAATGCACATATATATTCAAGCGTCCACTACGGGTTTTCTAAAAAAATTAAAGTTGAATTTTAACAGCATTTTTAGAGTATTCAATAATATCTCATTTATGAACGAATGAGGTAAGTTAATCGTAAAATGTTTTTAACGGATATATAGGTACCATAGAGAATACGATTGTCTGTTACTGACAGACATTTTCTAACAAGCTGTCGAATTGAGACGAATCCGGAACAGTCTGACGCCTTACTTTTTTCCTAAAATTTAGATTATCTGAAATGGTCGAAATCTGATAAGTTTTGATAGAAATTGTTCGAGTTTGGTACTATATATTTCAGAATAAATTATACTAAATCTCGATATCCTTTTCTCTTGCTTTCTAAGCATCAGAGATTTTCTTTACATGCTAAAAGTTAGATAATTTCAACAAAGTTTAATATTACCGATGCAAATTTAAAATATTCAGTTCTATTCAGTTATTCAACCGTGATTTCCTATTCTCTGCTGACGTTTATTAATTTCTGTAAAGCCTTTGCTTTTCAAAGTCGATGTCAAAATCAAACTAGTAGTTAATGCCAATCGATAGAGCATTTCGTGTTCTATACCTTCATGACTTTTTCATCGTTTCTGAGACTGATGCTTATAAGAGAAAGACTTGAACTTGACAGCTGTGGGTAGTTTTGAGTACACTTTGGAAAATCATTTTTTTAAAAGCCAGATTTGTTCTGTGAATGATTTATTATTATACTATGAGATGTAGAATTGAATTGTGAAAATATTAAGATTGTTTTGACTGAGAAAATAACAATGGCATAAGTTCACTGGCAGAAGGATCTTTTTATGCTTTCGGTTTTTTTCACTTTAAAACTGTTACTCTAAAATATTTATTCTCAAAATTCTGCAACATGCATCCATAGATGCAGAGTTTTCAAAGAAGTTTTATGACTTAGGTGAAAATTCACCTCAATCTTTTCTAAAAAAAATTGCCATCATTTTTTTGTGTTCTTGACCGTTGCAGTTGAACGAGTAAGTAGATATTCTTCTCTCAAATTTCGTCTTGATAATAAAAAATTATTAAAGAAACAAAGTCGACAATTTTGTAAAGTTTGAATTTCTGTATCTTCAGGGATAAAAGAAGGATTTTTTATGATTAAGAAACGAACAAAAAAATGTATTGAGACTTAGTGCTATTTCTTCTCGAACATCCATGGGAATGGTAGAAGTTGGTTACAAACTGACAAGTCCAGACTGAGAAATGCAAAACATAAAAAACAAGTGATTTTTGATTAGACATTATTTATGGATGCTCCTTTAGGACATAGTACATTATTTTCAAAAGATGCTGTACCTTGTAATTCATCTGATGAGAATATTAATGCAAGTAAAAATAGAAGTTTATCCTTTTCATTTAACTTATTAATCTTATTGAAATAATTTCAGTATTTTCGAATATTATTATCGTCATAATCGATTACCGTACATACCCAATCAAGATAATAAATTATTTTTAATACATCCACATTTGGAGCAAAAACTAATGGATCACGCATCCGACGATGGTTTATACTTAGAAACATGGCCATCATTATTCGATAAAAGAAATAATAAGATTTTTGTTAGTTGTTGTAATTCTAAGGGTGTGCATATGTTTGCATCGGGTTATATACATATATAATATATATAGAGAGAGCAATAAAGAAATACAAAAGTTCTAACTTCCGAGTATACCACCAAAGAAAAGAAAGGAAATAAGAAGAATTCTTTTGTTTTTTTCACAAGAAAACTGGTGAAAATTATGTTATATTGGAACAAAGAACATAGTAGATGTAAAAGTAAATGCATAGATTCGACGAGAAGACTTTCAACAATATCTGCTTTTTTAATGAAATTCTACTCTTGTATATATGTATTTTTTTTATGTGAATGATGTTTTCCATAGATGTGAAAATGAAACAATGCAAGAATTTCTTTTTTTATGTCGTAAACAGATATTTTTGAAAAGTAGAACAAATGTATAAAAAAAGGAATAATTGTGTGTCATAAAAAAACTTTACTCCCTGGATATGAATATATTCTGGTATGTTATCAATAATGTTGAATTGCAAATGTTGTAATTATTCATTTTGGAAAATTTTGTTTTGTGTTTTCGTTTACTTATCGATATATGATCAGCTCAAAGAAGTTTCTATTTTCTGATGAAATAAAATAATATTTGTTAATTTTATTCAATGTTGTATAAAAAGAAAAGAATAGAATTTTCTACGGCAAGTTCGATTAAATATTTCATAAGTCAAAACTAATTTAATCAATATCGTTAAACTGGTTGCTTACGTCAATTAAATCGTAATGCAAAATGACAGGAGTCTATCATATGGTGGTTTTCGTTTTGAAGATTGACAAGAATACAAAGAGATACAATCATCTGATAAGTTCAAAAATGGAATGTTTAGGAACATACATAGTGTTTCTAAGTTCTTTCTTGTCATATAGAACTAATCATATTTTTAATGTCAAGAAAATCTCTAGTGACAGTAAGTTTTTATGACAATAGACAACTTTAATCTTGACAAAACATATTTCAAACATATTAACTGATTATTTTATTTCTGTGAAGACTCATATCCTATTGACATTTCTTTTGTAAAATTTTATTGAAAAATATTTATTAAATTTTATACGATAGATTCGTTTTCTATTGAAGAATTCAATAGTATGATTTTATATAGTTTTAATATAAGTACTTTGATTGAGCGATAAAATTATGATTATTTTATATTTATTTTCAGACTCAGAACATTTTTTTTTCACACAAATGCTTTTGTTAAATATTAAGTGTGAGAAAGTAAATGAATATTTTATGATTTTCTACACTTTTTCTAGAACCTTTCTATTCAATTTTTAATTTGTTTATTTGCTAAAATTCAAAGAACATGAATAATACATATGCATCTTGCGTAGTTTTGTTGATTAAAATGTCATTAATTACGATTTGAATAATGAAGAGTTAGTATATCAATATTTTTTATAAGCCTTTTATCAAAAAAATATAGTGAGGAAAAAAGTCAATTCTAAGAAGATTGCATTTGTTCTATGTCATGGTTTTTTTTATTGATTGTTCTATATCGCTTTTAAGCATAATATCAGATTATTAGTATAGAATTAATAACGTATCTAATTTTTAAATTTATCACAATTAGTCCCTGGAAAATGATTAATTGGATATCCAAGTTAATGTTATGTCTTACAGAGATTATACAAGACAACCTATTACAATCTCGCATGAAATAGTTGTTTGTATTTGGCATGCTATGAATAAATTTTGACTCGTGACATTTGTATAGAAAATGTTATTCTATCCAAAAACAAAAAAAACTCAGTAGACCATATGGCATAACGCCTGTTTGTTTATCCTTTTTATTGTATCAAACAATGTTATTCAGAAACAGTTACGCACAGTTAATAACCGTGAGCATCTATACTATGATTGTATAATAAAAATAACATTCCAGAAATGTTTTCGCATATATAAAACAGATAATTGATTTAAAATGAAGGCATTCATGGAAGCATTTTCAATACTTATTTAATAAAAATATAAATCAAACTAATTTTCTTTTTATATAATCTTATTTGAACTGTCATCTAAATAGTAGTTATTGAGAAAGCATTTAATTCGATATAACTACATAATTCCTATAGGTATATCCATATCTATACATGTTATTGTTGATAAATCCATGTATCAAAGCTAACTAAAGTGTCATTGAGACCTTCAGCAATATGAGTAAGATAGAATAGTAGCATCTGATTAAATCTTCACTCAACACTTTTTCCGTTCTTCAACACGTCGAACAATTACTCAAAGAAACAAGAAGCACATTCTCCACTCCATCCCATCGAATGTCATCATCAAATTGATTTCAGGCAAAAAATGCTTCCGTTACTATTAATGTGCTGGCGAGCATCGATATGGAAATGTTTTCTTTCTTATGCATCATCGAATGAAAAGAAAACACAAGACAGACACCCTAACTTTCATCATCTATAAGATGCACTAAAAGACAACTATTGTTATTAAGTGCTTCGACTTATCGAGAAATTTGTTTTCTTCTATATCCAAAAATAGGATCAACTATCATTTTTTCAGTGAACACAAAATAATTTTATCGTTATCAAGAAGAAAAGACTGTCCATTGAGAATCCTTTTTATTTATGAATTGTCAGACTGTTCGATCAATTTGACAGGTATTTTGTAACGAGAAAAAAAAAGACAATAAGATCTATATTATAGTTTCTCATTATTTTATAAAAATATTGTTTGAAAATCCTCAGGAGAGTAATAGTATCCTTTTTTTTTCTTTACTTGGCATTATAGAAATACGTTTATACGATAAAAAAGAGACGGCACTTAAAACATGATACAAGTAAGTAAATATGATTCAATTATAGGCTTAAAAAAGAAAAGAAACTTATCCTTTTTTTTCATTAATAAACATACCCAATGTGGAAGTGTTAACAATTTGAAGTTATTCGAATGGCTAAAGCTAACGATGCTTGTTCAACTTGGACACATTACCAAGTGTTTTATTTTGATGTTTTGATTAATACTAACAACATAACACTGATAAAAAATTCTCTTCTTCATAATCTAATATTAGATTTTTCATCTTGACAGTAACGACAAAAGACACAAACGTAACAACCAATTATGAATCGAATTTCATTTACATAAACGCATTTACATTATGCAGATGAAAATGTTTTTAGTAATGTTATGAATTTTTTAAAGAGATCATTATGTCTCATGAGGTTTGTTAACATTATCCTACTAACATTTTAAAAGAACCTATTTGATGTATGAATTTGTTTATTCAATAATCAATATGAAATTCACTACGCCGTACATAATTTGCATATGAACATTTATTATATATTTAGATAAAATATAATACTTGAACTAAATTAGAAAGAAGAACATTTTGTTATTTGTTCTTTTGAGTTGTCGAGATATATAATCAGATCTGTCAGAATTCGAACGATGAAGATAGAGTTTTTAGTTTTTGCTCGAGGGATAAAATGCCAAGATATAAATATCTACATCTATGAATGTAAAGAAAACAAGAAAATTTTAAACCATTCTATTCCCAATAGATTTTTCTCATATAAAACTAATGAACACAAAAAAAACATTACTAAAATAAAGGTAGATCTATCCTTCTTTATTATTATCATCTTTATATTGAAGAAAATCTCTCGTGAAAGCAATATTACAATGTTTATCCTAACACAGAAAAAAAAAAGAAGCTCTATTTACTGTTATAGAAATTTCTTTGTACTCAATGAATGTCGTTCTTTCTCATTTTTTTGTTTTCGCTCTATTGTTACAACCATCTAGAAAAGAAAATAAAGGGAATGAGAAAGAACAGGATAAAGGAAGAGAACGATTTTGAACATTGCTTCTTTTTCTATCATAGTTTTCTCTTATTTTAGTCTAGTTCTTTCGTGTATGTGGTTTGTTGTTACTTTTTGATGATCATGATGATCGAATAAAATATTTTTCTTTCATTTAAAGTCAAAATAAATAGGAAAAAAATCCAAGAAGAATAATAAGATGATGTTTCATCTAGAGTTGTCCTTTAGCTTAGTAAAAAAAAAAGAAGTAATCATAGATAAAAGGCGTGTTGTGCCTTTAAGCTTTGTAGAATAAGACAACATACATGATAGACATATGAGGACAAACTAAGAACTAGAAGACACTATGTAGAAAAAAAAATGCTCCTTGCTTGTCAATGTGAGACATCCGTATACGTGATAAAATCTCTCTCTTGAATTATCTCCTTCATACACTTTGTGTAATACTATTATGGGTAATTGACTTCAAGGAAATCAGAGGGAAACAGAGAAAAAAAGAAGAAAAAAGAAGAAACAATGTGAAGATGAAATAGACCGTGGCTGTGTCTTCGTCACAACGACAGAACAAGGAAAGGCAGAAAACAGGTAAGGAGAAATTTCCTTCCGTCTTTTCCGGTCTCTCTTCTTTTTCAGAGAAAAATCGGCTAAGAATGTAATGGGAAGTCAAGCATAATCAATGCATAGACCATTTAAATCTTTTAGTTTTGAACGAGCAATTGTTACTCCGAGAAAAAAAAATTCATATTTAATGACTATTGACTTTCATTATGACTCGCTCTCTTTTCCTCTCTCTCTCTCTTCTAAATAAATGACTTTCTTCTCTTCCTTTTTTTCATTCATTCAAAACCAATATATTTTTTTTAAAGTTAATTGAAGTAGAGATGATTGAAATATTCTTCAAAAACCAACATTTTAAAAATCTATCGATAATTATGGTCATTGCATATATTTATACACGGAGAAGTCTTTCGTGATCTATTATCATTATATTTTTTTGTTTGATCATGATACTGATGATCTTATCTCTAAATTAAAGACAACTACTTACTTGTTTATGCTTGTTATGATACATTTATAAAAGAAAAAAGTAAGTAAGTTTTATTTTCTTTTCAAGATATAAAAAATAAAACCTATTGTT